GGGGGGGGGGGGGGGAGGTAGGGGTGCATTCACATGTTCGGGCCCGCTCCGAAGAATGCCCACTTAGGAAGCCAGATGGGAAGCGCAAAGATAGCTCCTTCGTGCAAAAAGAAGTCTGCTGTAGTGTTCTAGTGAGGTACGGCACTACATGACGGGTGAGGACAAGTCGATATGTCCACAAAATACGCATCGAAAAAACGTCCAAGGACGAAACCAAGGGTCCCAAACGTCTCTGGGGGTTGGCGCTACTGGTTCTGTTGCAGGGAGGCGCGCTCTCGACACCCACGCACACTTTGGTTGCGGGCATCTCGCGCTGAAGCCCGTGGCGTCCGGCCTTGAAACCAAGCGCACGAGAGTGCACCCAAGAAACTATGGAGTAACCCGACTGGGGGTCCACTATTTAGTGCTTTCCGTTTTTGATATCCATTAGCACCGTTGCCGTACTGCTGCTGCATGCACGGTTTCGCACTTCGAGTCGTGTACGTAAAACTACAGCAGGCATTGTTTTTTTCCCGGATACGCCAAGTTTCAAATGCGGTTGTATGCGTTGTCAAATGGGCGAGCGCAAAGGGCACCTAACGCGACATTCATTGCATCAATACTGCTGTGAGTCTTTCTCGGTGCTGGCACATCGGCACAAACTTGCGAACATCGCAAGTTCTCAATGACTGACCCGTGTGACGGCGGCGGAAGCACCTGCTCGATTCTATGCATGTTTGAATGCCAAGCAGTTCGAGGTGATTGGGCGACAAAAATCTTTCCTACCCTACAGCAGTAGTGCAGGGAGCGACAAAGCCTGTTGCCATCGTCGTCACGACTGCTCTGACTCAAGACCCGACACCCACTTGGAAGATGACACAAGATGTCGCTTGTTTTTTGGTCAAGAAGCTGCGTGTACACAGTACGCTATTGGTCGCGCCACTCTGTGAACTCGTTTGAAACTAGAGAAAAAACATGGGATTCAGGTTCGCAAGCAATCTGTAGAGACGTGAACGCAGGCCATCCATGCATGGAAGCAAGATGTTGGGTAGATGGGTACACTAGACTACTATAAAGCACCCGTCTCGCTCGCTCCTCAGACCATCTGCCTTTAGCTTGAGGCCTTATGTGTGTCGACGTGCGCAGCAGTCCTCCTGTAGTCCCAAGTTCATCTTTGCACCATCCTGGTCGTGTAGCGAGGGCAACCTCGCATGGACTGTTGTCGGCACTCATGCATGCACGTAAACGCCCACAACACAACTGCTGTTTTCTCCTCACCCAGAAGTGGAGGCCATCTTTATCTTTCTTTTTCGTTCTCCTCCTTGCGCTCTCTCTCCATGTAGACTATGCCGAGCCGGTGCGTGCTCCCTCGATGCCCCCCTTTTGAATGCCGAGCTTTTGGCGACCGGAGTGGTGCTCTTTCGGCACAGCCGTAAAATCTTCCAGGCTCCTCCGGGCAGGTTTGAAGCTGACTCCTCAGCAAACAGAATTAATGCTTCCTCCACCTGTTCCTGCTCTTGTCGTACCCACGAGTCACTCACAACCAGGCCCGTGTCACCAGTACCATTTGCCGTGTTTTTCCCTAACGGCTTTGCACCACCGATCTCCGTAGATCTCAAAAAATGAAGTATGAACGTAGAAGAAGCCTAGTCGGAAAAAAATGGAAAACTACGAAAAAAAAAAAATATATTATATAATCAAAGCTTCCACACCCCCACCCGTGTTGCTGCCCACCAACCACCCTTTCTTTCCGCCCGGCAGCAGGGAGAGCGACCGACACCTCGAATAGCCGGTGTCTCTTGTTCGGACTTGCCCGGAGACAGCCGTGTGAACCAGCTTTGCCTCATCTTTGTTGGACACGAGAGAAGGCTGGGTCGGATCAAAACAAAGAAAAGAAATGATGGGCGTGACTGCGTGGTCGGGGTCAGCGGCAGCTGGTCTGCTTTGGTGCCTCCTGTTGGCAGGCACCAGGGTGCCGACAGGCTCCGCTGGGAGCATACGGCTGACGGAGTGTCCCGCGGACGCGCCAGAGGCCACGTTTAGCTGGGAGAACGACGGAGACTACCTGTACGTGGAAGGGGACGGCTCTTGCGTGACGCTGCCGGACATTTACAACGGAGTCGACAACCCTCCGCTTACTTATCATACGGTCGATGGGGATGAGAGCGACACGGAGACAGGGTGAGAAGAGGCTCGTTGCTGTGCTTGTACCCATGCAGGATATGTCGGTCTAGGTTCTTGGAACCTCGCGTTGATTCCTATTTGCCAGGCGTAGCCAGGCGTTCGTTCATACAGACCATCCGAAAGTTCTCTGTTTTCGGGCCACAAAGGCGGTGCTGTTCCCTTGCCGGAACAGAATTCTTCGGGGACCGTTGCAACCGATTGTTGTTGTTGTTGTTGTTGTCTTCACATGAAAAACCGTTCCGATCTCTCTCTCCGCCCAGTACCTTCGTATGCCCGTACTAATCCAACACTCGACGCGGTCGATTCCCGTGGTCGCAGGCTAACTTACCCTAAAAAGGGACACTAATGGCCCCGAGGGGTCCGCAAGTCAATAGAAATCAACGACAGATATTCTGGAGTCCTCCACTCCCTCTGCGTGCTATGCGAGGTAACAACTGAGACTAGGGGCCACCATCACGGGCCGGAGAGAATGAGGTACACTCCCTTGGTTCAATCTTGGTACTTCACAACGCAAGCAGGGACAAGGCCATCTGACACAGAAAAAGAGAAAAAACCGTAGACATACAGGTAGCCTTTCGCTCACGCTATGGATTCATTGCTAATCTATCTTGGACGTTGTTGTTGTTGTTGTTTGTCACATTAGCTCTAAAAAAGAAAGATTGGGAGCCCGTGGTCTCAAAACCCGGCATACACGACCCCACAAAAAAACAGAAAAAAATAGGGTCCAAAAACCACTCGGAATAGAAACAAAATGATAGAAAGAAAGACCAGCTACCGCACCAAACGA